TGTATTCTGATAGCAGGTGCTGCTTCAGATTTAATGGCGTTAAGTCGAAACCATTAGACTTAGCACTTGTCTCCGCCTAAGCTGTATCTTGTCACCTCTCCTGTTTGTGTTGTGCATGGATAGAATAGATAGGAGCTGCTAAGGCGATGAGGGTATGGGCGTAGGAGATGATAAGTCGAGAAGGTTGCTGTTTGCAGACGACCTTGTTTTATTAGCATCTTCTGAAACTAATCTCCAGTGCTCCTTAAAAAGGTTCGCAACCGAGTGCGACTTCACCGCATGCGTATGAACGCATCTAAAACGAAAAACCTAGTGCTTTCTCGTTCTCCTGCGCGTTGCTAGCTTAAGATAAACGGATAAGCAGCGGACCCGGTGGAGACGTTCAAGTACCCCAGGGTCGTGTTCACTGGTAGTGGAAAATTTTGGGAAGAATCTACCGGTGGACTGGAGTAGCCAGTGAAGTTCTACGTGAAGTAGCCCAACCATTGTGACTAAAGCATAGCTGACTCTGAAAACTAAGCTTTCGGTATTCAAGTCGATTTTCATCCCGTGCTTTGCTACGGCCATGAGTCGTAGGCCGTGACTGAACCCATCGATCCCGGAATATGCATTTTAAATGGGCTTTCTGAGACGACTGGCTGGTCTTACAGGTCTCGACATGGTCCGGAATACAGACATCCAGGGCAGCCTTGGTGTACAGCCTCTGCTTCTCCAGATTGAGAAGTCACAGCTGCGATGGTTTGGGCATATGTTGCGAATGGCTCCAGAAAGGAAGGTTAAGCTACTGTTTCAGGAGGACCAGCCGACCAGCAGAAGTCCCAGAGGACGGTCATGAATAACCTCGTGCATACATTTGGAAGGAATCAGTACCAGACTCCGCTTGTCTTCTGCCGAAGCTCAGACTCTGGAAAACAGGATCGGGAACATTGGAAGCACTGTCTAACGGGTCTGTCTCTTTGACCTGATAGGAAAAACGGCCACGGAAGAAGGTGATGAAGAAGGAGAGTGTGAATGTTCGTTGATTCCTTGGAGAAATCATTTTCAACATATGATT